TTAGTGTGTGTGTGTGTGTTACGGAGGAGAGTTTTTGTTCTATTCCTTGACCTTCAAGCAACGCGTCACCTTTTTAAGAACTGTTTGGCTGTCTCCTTTTTGTTGTTTTCGTCCTTTCTAAAAATGATTTGGACAATAGCTGTGTGACTGTACCCGTTACTCTTACGTGTTGTTCCGTTTAAGAAATGAACAAAAAAAATTCAATCATATAATTTCATATAAAATCATACTATAACAATTGATTGAAGAGATTAGAAATACTATAACAATTTGCACGTAATCGATTCCGTAATTGATAGGCAAAGGGTAGTCCGATGCACTAAGCTCCCGCACGGGATCCAAGGAAGGGCCGGAACATAAGGGTTTATTGTACGCAGTCTTATCCTACATTTCTACAAGACATTGTTTTCACGGCTTGAACATGTGACCTCCTGGTCCCAAAGCAACAACTTTACCAGTTACGTCAAGGTTCCTAAACCGTAATTGATAGGACATTTAAAAAAAAAAAGCAAATGTCTGCATAATTAATATGGTATTTAGTTGGTGGTATAAAATACATGTTATACAATAATGCTTGTATTATCTTACATATTATAGAATGTATATAATTCAAAATACATGTATTAACAATATGAAAATAAAAATATTTAATGGCTTTTAAGTAAGTATTTTGTAAAAGATATCCTGTGTATTGGATACGCATTGGAGCCCGATTATATCTGGATTCGCGCCGCGTAGGACCCCTTTCGGGGGGAAGGGTTCCCTACCAAGGATTTTTCCATACCCAGGGCTCGAACTCGAGACCTCTGGTTAATGGAGGAACAGTCCCATCCACTGCACCATATCCTTTGGTGGTCCTGTGTATTACTATTAATAGAATAACAATCCCTACATTATGCTTTACTGCATAACTAATTTCCGCTTTTTAATTTTGATATTTAAATAATTTTTTAAATGTGATGTAATAATGATTAAATGATAAATACAACAATGTCTTGCATTAGGTTATTTGACATAAATATTAATTACGAATAAATATTTACTACTAATGTAAATGCAATTGTCCATCTGAATTCTGCTCATATTTGCCTTATTCTTCCTTTACATGAACAGATGTAGAATTAATTAGAACAATTAATAAGATTGTTGTTATGAAATAATAAAAGAAGAAGAAGAGTATTGCAGAGAAAAGTAGAGAGAGAATTCTTATTGATATTGGGATGAATTACAATGGAATAGAACCCTCTATTTATAGGGAGAGAGTGACTCAGCCACCAAGTAATAAACCCTAGAATCTCTCTAAATATAGACATTCACCATAAATAAAATTCTATTTATAACACTCCCCCTTGAATGTCTATTCAACAGCTAATGTGCCTCGTTAAAACCTTAACTAAAATAAAACCCAGCAGGAAAAAAATTCTAGAAAAGGAAAAAGAGTACACATATCTAACAGTACGCGTTTTGGTTGCCTCGTTAAAAACCTTGCAAGGAAAACCCAGTGGGACAAAACCTTGTAAGGGAAAAAGAGTGCAACGCGCATTAACTCCCCTGATGAGAGCATCAATTCACATCCTTAAGCATTTGCATTCCAATCTTGTGCACCATCTTCAAAAGATCTTTGGTAGATATTTGATGAACAAATCAGCCATATTAACTTGAATGAATATATTGCACCTTGAAATCATCATTCTTGATAGAGATGAATTGTCTTCATATGATCTTGTTGGAATCGTCAATTCAATATCTTCACATAGAGGTGAAAACTTTTGCTATCATATTATCATGCATATAGTTATAACAAGATACACTTGTGCACAAATTGCACTGAGGATGCAGTACTTCATGACCATGAATTCTATATGCTTTAAGCAATTTAAATCCTTCAGGGATTGTTAAGTCATATAAGCCATATAATAGACTTTAGATGCATATCAAGTTTTCTTGTCATGCTAGACATATAAGATATCGAAAACTGATTGCACATACCATTGACTTATACTTTCAAGTGTTTGAACTACATGTTCAAAACTACATGGCTTTCATATGAAACCAATTCTATTTGAATTGTTTCTTCAGACTTAAGATCCTCATATATATTTAGCGCTATCATAGATGCCGTCGACAAACATTTTATATCAGTTTCAATATTTTTTCATAAAGACATAACATAGAAATCTCTTCATTCATATTTTCAGGTACCTGAATCTCTCTTGAGATTTTATGAAGTGTTATGTCATGTGATCTTCTAGATCACTTGCCTCCTTTATTATGATCATTTTGATCATTTGCTCATCTTCTTTATCAAGAAGTTTATTTGAATCGATTTGTCTATATGCTTTAAGTGTACTATAGACTTTGTCCTTCTAGGACTTATTCTAATAGGAGCATTTGCAATGAGAATATAGTTACTTTCTTTGGGTCAGCAAATGCGTCTGGCATGCTTTGCAATAAATTGCACATGAATTATCCTTTTATGAACTTCAAGTTCATATTATTTTATTCAGGGATCTAGATGTATAAATGATAATTCATTCCATGTAACTTTTTCTCAACTGTTTATCATGTCTCCCCCTCATGTTAGAAAAACTAACTTGTTTCCTCAACTTTGAGAACCCATCTTTGTGCGTTATGATGTTAATCAAAATATACACCGCACATCAATAATAATAAGATGAATTTATTGGTTCCTGACCCTGAACCACTTGTGAGGGAGAAATAATATACTTTCGTATATAACGTATATCAAACTGATATAGATAACTTTGTTCTCATAAGCAATTGTTTAGCTATTAAGTGGAGGCACTCAATAAATCATTTTGCTAAACCAACTGTGATGTAAACCAACTTATCAAGATGAACTACTTGAATAAAAAATCTGGAAATTATGCTCTATATTAAATTATTGAGCAAGTTACCTCGCAAACACCATGTTGCGGGTTAATAATAATCGCACATGTAACCATCTCATAGATGCATCTTATGTGGTATACATGGCAGGTGAATGGGCCCATATTCACCTTTGATATTTCCAGCATTCATGGGACTCAATCCCAATTTTAGTTGGTATATTAATTAATGAAAACAGGCAACATAAGAGAATTCGTAAAGAACTTTCTAGTTCTTTAATATTTACCCATGTGAATTCTCTTTTATTTTTGCACATCATACTTAAATTAATATGGGTAAACCAATTATGCCAACTGAATAAATTATCAATATTGATAAACTTCAGATTTACGCCATGACGTGTGCAATTATCAATAAACTCCAAGTTTATTATGATCTGGGTTTTTATATCAATAAACATCCACTTTATTGTGGTTTTTTTTTTGTGTAGTACAAACTGGAGAATAAAGCGGGTAGCTTTTCACATACGTATTACCAGCTACATGTTGTAGTAATAGAAGATATTAAATCTTTCATTTATTTATAGTCTCAATATAATCAACCGCTTTCGCGTATACTTTGGAAACTGAATAAGTTTCTTTGAGACTTACTACAACACAATACCTTATTGGTAATCAATTGTGCTTCTCCAAAAGTAATAATTGGCTCTTCTAGAGCTCTCAATTAATTTGGTACTACCGCATATTCATCAACATCCATATGGTGAATATCTTTTTTAAAGAGAAAGTTATATCATTATGGTTATGGTCAAAATTATATGCAAGATCTGTTTCTTGCATTACCGTTGTCTTTTAACAATCACACTGCCAAAATATTTTGGCGTACAATAGGTACGTGACCAATGACCATTCATGCCATAATAATGACATTATTTTCTTGTATCATCTCAAACCTCTTGTTAGAGGTGAGTGCGGTATATTCACTACCACTAGCACGTTCATATTCTTTGAAGAATGAATATGTATTCATAAATCAGATGTTTTCACATTCACATCATGAATGGACCATAATCATCTATATGTGCTTTACAAAATCTCATGTCAAATCGATGACAAATATTTTTTCACAGAGTGAAAGATTATTTTGAGAATCCTTATTGTTCTCATTACCACAAATGATGACGATTATAATTTCGTCTATTGCCACGTCCATATCCATTGATACATTCATAGTAATAATTTTGACTTCTTTCAGACTTATCATATACTGCTATCACATTCTCTTAAGGGAATGAGAATGGAGCAAATTCAATGGGACGGGTTTTCAATTCTTTGCCCACAATCATACATGAATTTGATCATGGCGAGGCATAGAAATTTTACCACTTCAGGTGGTTATAATTTCTTACAAACTCCATTAGAGTTATAATCAAACTTTGTTGTCTTTGCTTGTATTTAAAATCGAAGTATAGAATAAAAGAGAAAAATACGGTAAAATACTTACCTTAAATCCAGAATTTAATCATGAAGGAAGTTCATGGAATAATTGACAATCATTATGCTCAATCTCAAAGCTTCTACTCAATTGGTTAGAGTCTCCTGCTGATAACGTGTTATGAAATAATAAAAGAAGAAGAAGAGTATTGCAGAGAAAAGTAGAGAGAGAAATTTTTTATTGATATTGAAATGAATTACAATGGAATAGAACCCTCTATTTATAGGGAGAGAGTGACTTAGCCACCAAGTAATAAACCCTAGAATCTCTCTAAATATAGACATTCACCATAAATAAAATTTTATTTATAACAATTGTATCTTTCTTTTTCCTCTTTTTTTTTTCCAACTCAAACTACACATAATTTGATCTCTCAAAAATATTTGTAGAAAATTATATTTACTGTCACAAAGCTGTAATAGATACTAGTACTACAAGTTTTTCCAAATTTAATTCCATTTCTTTCTTTGTTTTCCCAATGCAAACAGCCAACAGCCGTTACCTCTCCTCTTATTACACGTCACTATTGTTCAGCCCATTTCATCCCCAGGTCAGCCTCAGGTGTGTGCTAGCTCTTTTACCAATTTTAAAAAAAACCCAACTTTTCAATTCACCCAAACACTGCCTTATTTCCCCGTATATAAATACCTCATCTTTCCTCCATCAAATTTCCCTGCAGCATGGTGTGCAAATTACTCAATTCTTTAATTCTTTCTCTTCTCCGACAACGCCACCACCTCCGCCACCCTCCTTAAAACCTTTAAAAAAAAACCAAAAATTATCCTCGTACAGTACATCGTACTTAATATATTCAATTAACAACAATGCTTGTCTCTGTGTTTCTCGCTCTGTTTCTTCCCTGTGTTGGAATGAGCGCCGTTTTCTTAGTCTACATCTGTTTGCTGTGGTACGCCGCCAGCTACCAATCCGCCGGCGCTGGTACCGGAAATTACACAACTGACCCTGTGAAGCCAAATCAAGAAAAAGGTCTGTCCGCTGCTCAATTAGATAAACTACCAAAAATCACAGGGAAAGAATTAGTAATGAGCAATGATTGTGCGGTGTGTTTGGATGAAATAGAGAGCGAGCAATATGCTAGGGTTGTTCCAGGTTGTAACCATGGATTTCATTTAGAATGTGCTGATACTTGGCTTTCAAAAAATCCAGTTTGTCCTGTTTGTAGAACAAAGCTTGAACCTGACTTCTTTAATCCTCCTGAAAACAACCCTTGTTAAACAAATTTAAGCAATTTCTGCTGTAAAATCTCTTTATTTTTCTTGTCTTAATAGGAGTAGTATTTATTTCATATAGAATTAGGTTATGGATGTTTTTTCGTTCTTTTTTTTCTTCTTTAAATCTGAATCTTGGGTGGTGGGTGTTGTTATCAGAAGAGCTTAATTCAATCAAGTACAGTTTCTTATTTTGCCTTACATTTTCATTTTCAATTTTGCTCCATTTTTCAATATTCTCCGGTGACGGAACTAGGAATTTATATAAAAAATTTAAGAACCATATTAAAATATGACAATTGAAATTTGAATATATGATCTAGGGTAAATTTTGAACTCCTTTACTACTATGTTTACTAGAAATTTTCTTATATTAAGGTGATTTTACATTTTAAATATATTTAAAAGATGTTATTTGATATGTTTGTGCATAACATTTTTTTATATAATATAAATTTTCGATGAAGTAAATTTAATTTAATGCTTTTTTGTATATTTAGCTCCGTCCCTGCTGGCCTGTCGTTTCACGAAGCTTCGGTTTTAAAGAAATTGGTGTGTAATCAAATGATGAATGTGAACTGTGAAAGATAGTTAAGCGTAAGGGGGTGGGGTTAGGGGAATAAATAAAAATAGAAAAAATTTGGAGTGAACTCCAAATTTGGCTAGCGTTTGGCCATAAATTCCAAATTTATTTTTATAAATCTGATTTGGGTGAAATTTGGTTTGAAGATGAAAATGTGTTTGGACATACGTTTTCAAAACATATTTTTCAACTTTATTTTGAAAAAACATGTATATAATTTCCAAGTTTTGGGATTTTGGTCCAAAATTGATTTTGGGATTTGAAATTTGGGATTTAGGATTTGGTCAAAATATGGGCAAAATTTATGGCCAAACATGAGTTTTAAAAATAAAGCCCAAATTTATTTTGGCAAAACTCATGGCCAAACGGGGCCTTGGTGTTTTTGGTGGAACCCAAGATGACATAGTATCATAATGAAAGATGAAGTGATTGCAATAAAGTGATTAATATTGACCTTTGGATTTTAACGAGATAAAAGAAAAAAAATTAATGGACAAATATAGTGTCTAATACTCCACTATGAATGGAAGAAGAAAAGGTTGGGAAAAAGATAGGGGAAGAAAAGCAGCACTAGTACAGCTTTGTACTAGTACTTTTATATTCAATATTTAAGGGATTGTTTGAAGTTTCATTTATGGTATAGGAGTAATTAATTTAATCATAATATTCGATATAAGATAGTATTTTATTTACTTGTATAAAAAAGAATAAACATTGTATTTATGCAATATTTGATTGGCGGTATAAAATTGCATGGCTTAACGCACAAAGCATCAGGATTCACGCAAGGTTCGGGGAAGGGTCGACCTCAAGAGTGATGATGAGAGTCTACCATAGTGCATAAGTTAGTGACTGCTTACACAGGTTGAACCTATGACCTATAGGTCATACGAAGGCAACTTTATTATTGCTTCAAGACTTCCCTTCGCGATATTTGATTGGCGGTATATCTACATTAAATTATTAGGAAATTTTATGTTTTATGAAGAATGCTATACTTAATTAGTATTTTTATTCCTTTAACCAAACAACCCCTAGATCCGTGCATAGTGAAAGTGAAAGTGAAACTAAAATTGATTCCCTGTGCATATGACTTTTGATTAGGTAGCTTTTTTCAAGGAAGGGAAGGTAGGGTAGATGCCAGCCCTAACTTTCCTGTGTGTGAAACAATCAATTGGTTAAACCTTTTTTCAAAGCTGACTTCCTTTTAAACTACTCAACACTTGGTTTCTGTTTTCTATCCGATGGTCGGTATTCATATTGAAATCTGATTAAATTTATTTTTGCGTCGAAAAATCTCTTATTAGAGGAGGTAAAGCACTTCCCAACAAAAATAATTTCATACTTAAAACTCAAACTCGAGAGCTCTAATTAAGGATAAACCGCAACCCAATGCATAAAGTATTCCGCATTCACCTAGGGTTCGAGAAATGACTAGACCCCAGGGGTGTGATGTACATGGGTGGATTTAGGGGGGCGGAAGGGGGTTCAGTCAAACTCCCTTTGCCCAAAAATTACACTGTATATATAAGGCAAAATCTGTTTTGTACCACTATATATTATATTTTGAATCCCGTTGACACAATCCAAAAGCATAGCTTAGTGGTCAAGGGGGGTCAAAACCTATGTGAGGTTACCGGTTGAATTGGCCACAGTCTCTTTTATTTTATTTTTTTTAAACCCCTTAAGCGAAAATTCTGCCTCCGCCGCTAATAGTATATGTAAATATCATACCCTGATGCATACATCAGTGAATGCTTTCACGACTCTGATTATAGATGAAAGAGTATTTACGACTCCATTACTATTCTTGTTGGTGAACGGCTGTTGAGTTGTAGCTTTGCTTTATTCATTGTGCATTTTGGGACATTAATTAGATGAGTGAATTATTATAGGAATAGTGAAGGGCATAGATATTTGTTGCGTGACTCTTGAAAAATTTCAAACCTCAAATCTCCATCCGTTCGCTAGCTTTCTTCCACTTGTATTGCTTCTCATTAATGCTCATACCAAAAAATCTGTCTTCCTCTATTAGAGTAATTCCTCTTCTTTTTGCTATTTTTGTTATTTTCTTAGAAATAAATATATACTTTGTAGAAGACTATTCTTTTTAAGGATGAATTCGAGATTTAAATTCTCGAGTCCAAAGTTTGTGCTATTTATTGGAGGTATATATATTTTTCGAAAAATGTCTAAAATATTTCTCTATGAAATTTCTTAAGTTTACACTCCAAATAATTAGCAAATGGTCTGGTTATTTGCATATAAACCTTTATATTTTGAGTAATTGAGTGAACCGGTCACATTCAAATAAAGATGCGGATCTAAAATTTAAAATTCTTTATTTTGTATTACCACGGGGTAAACTTGGTCAATATTTTGATGATGGAATTCGCACCGTCTAGGTTGTAGCTCCATTAACTTCGAGGAAAAATACAAAATTATTTGCTAACGACAAGATATATATGATACCAAAGTATAATAATGGTAGAATTAAGATATTTTGTGATGTAGAAAAGTAAATTAAACTTCCTTAAATAATTCGCTATTTTAAACCATATATTTCCCTCCAATTTTAACATTCTAGCACTGAACTACCAATTTCCATTTATCCAACAAATAGCTT